AGCATGATAGTGTAGAATAATCATATCCAAGGACCAGTGGTGGTCTTCTGTAGGTGTGGCCTGCTTTCCGGGTCCACTGGTGGAACCACTTCTAACCGGTTCGGTAGATTTGACGAACCAGTTCTACCGAATAGGTGCGAACTGGTAGGAACCCACCTCTGGTATGCACGGCCATTTTAGTGAAGGGGCAGGGCTTCGGGAGGCAAAAAATGCTGTATTCGGTGTATAAGATGCACCCAGATTTTCAGCCTCTTTTTGAGGAAAAAAGGTGCGTCTTATACTCCAAAAAATACGGTAGGCCTCAAAATAATAGTAGGCTCAAATTAATTGCTATATATTAAAGTGTTCGCTAGAATGATTTCCTAAGAATAGAGTGATATTTATAATCTGCCATGTTAGTGAAATTTTATAGCATGTATTTGGAAAGTAGATATTTTCAGAAGCTATTTTGGACTAAGAATATTGAAAACGTTGGGAATTAAGGAACTGAAAGTAGCAGATGGTAGGAGATTTCACATGTACACAGAAATATGTGCTGACGGTCAGTATGAGAATACAAGGAAGTAACTTCAGTAAAATACTATTTACTGAGGGGCTGTCAGGAGAAAGGTATAAAAGAAGGAGATGAGTCTCAGATCGAGGCCACTGGCCATAGCTATTCCTTGCTGGACCTAGCTATTGTCTCTGGACCTCACTGCAATGGGTTGTTTATGTAAGTGATGTTATGATGGCTATTCATGTTTCAAATTGCTCATGAAATAAACCTCTGAATCCTAAAGTAAGAATTGTTTTGTTGTATCGCTGTCTCCTGTTTCTTTTATTGGAATATTTTTACAACAGAAATGGTGCTGTGACTCGGATAAGATGGTCACTGGAAGAGACCTGCTGTCCAGCTAGGATCCCTGACAGTTCCTTGTGTTGGAGCTTCAGGTCACCAGCCCACTCTTATATGAACTATGTACTTTGGATCAAAGGTAAGCTATTTGGTCCCTTAGCAGACTGCAGTTAGCTAGATAGGGTGTGTGAGTTAGATAGAGAGGGTGGGACCTGTCCCATAATTCGGCCGCAAGTGAAGGGTCACACCCGGATGAGCTTAAGGGACAGGCCCGTGTCTTTACCAACATATTTCATTGCAAAACAGTCCAGGGTTGCCCTGTGGCTGGGTCCTGGTGGAATATAGTCTCACCTGAGAGCTGATCACTCTCTTGTATTGGCGAAGGGTCGTGCCCTCAGTCCGAGTCATGCCCAAGGAGGTGAGGGTTCTTGAATAGAATTGTAAGTATAAGTAGAAGAGAACTTTTGGGCAGATGCCTGCCAGGTGAGAAAGGGCAAGAGGTTTGTTCCTTGCTCCTTGTTCTTTCTTACTGGCAGATGTTTGTTGTAAGCATCTTTTATTTCTTGGTGTTTTGTTATTGTTTTGTTTAAATAGCAGTAATTGGAAAAGTGGTGGTCACAAAGAACCAATACAGGGTGGCATCGAGAAAACAACATCTCCATCAAATGGATAAAAGAGGTTTGTAATGGGGATGTTTCTGCGACATCATTTTTAATTTTACTTTACACTTTCAGCGTCTCAACAAAACCATAGTAGCCTGGCTTTTGGGACCTTAAGCATAGATCTTCTCTGGCAGTACCTATTTCTGTGTGAGGGTCGATGTTCAAGTGTCTGAAGTGGCATTTTTTGATCTTCTATAAGTTGCCTTTTGCCCAGAACATATGTGTTTGTTTTGCAGTTGTATAGGTGCTTGGTCTTGCTGGTGTTGCTATCATTATTTGCATTGTTGGATTTTCCATTGGCATTGTTCCCATCTGCATGGCCCCTGTGAAGTATTGCTCAAGGCCTTGCTGATGTCCTCATTGATGGAAAATGTTTGGATGACAGCCCAAGGGGAGGGTAATTGATTACTATGTGTAGATTTTGTGATTGTGAATGCTGGTGGAATTGTTGCTGTTGTCACTTTTGTATCAATTGCCATGTTGACTGCATCGACTGTGCTTATCTTAACAGCCCTTGTGATGATCACGCTGAAACTCTGTGCCTTGATGTACTCATTGATGAGATTGCCATTGATTTATCTTTGTCTTTTGATGATGGTTATGCCTCTATGTAAGTGAAGGTTGGTGAGAGAACAAAATAAGACAGGCAATTGGGTATGTCGGTGGTGACGATGTGCAGTTAGATTGTATATCCACTGGGAGTTGCCATCAGTGGACATGTCTGGTTTCGAAGCCTTCTTCACCATGCTAATTTTTTTCACCTCTACACTGAAATTTGTATTTTTAATGTTTATACAGTATATTGGATGTTATGCTCATCTCAATCCCCCTATGATTTGGGGTACCTAACATGGGGTACTGACTCCTTTGTTTACACCATTTTAATCTTGCACTGCCATTTCAATTTCTTTTGTAGGATTTCTTGTCATTGCTACTTACGTTTATATGTGAGATAATATATGGAGGTATAGTTGTATTGACAGAGGTGTCCTTTCCATATCTGGTCCTGTCCGAACTTCTGTCCCTTCCATTTGGCCTCTGCTTACCTCTCACCATACTGTTTCTATATCAATATTGTGTGCTTCTTTTTTGTCTTTCAGTTATCACCTGTTGTGTAATAATTATTAGTGCAACTTAGCCTTCTATAAAATGTTGTTCCTAAAATGCTGCTAGCCCACTTCCCCCCCGCAGATAAGGGTCAGCTGATGGCCATCTGGAACTTTGCACTTTAATGTCTAATGGAAAATAGCCATGGGAATGTATGTTTATTCGGCTCTCAGGGCAGTTGATAAAGGAAACATCTTCACACTTGTGTATTGGCTAAAATCTGCATTCTAACAAATGGGAGGGGTCTCTACTGCTTTAATTCTACTTGCATTGCCTAAGGGGATTCAGATGTTGCTTTGACTTTAATGGCTTCCATTCTTCTTAATAAAAGGTTCCTTTTGAAATACTCCATTTCACAGTAACATGCGGTGAAGCTTATGGCTGGTGAGGCAANTAATAATAAAATGACAGTTGGTCTTACCTGAACTGTTATTTTAAGAGGTGTTTGCAGGATGGGCCAGTTCCCATCCTAGGTTAGATAGACAGTATTGGGGGGTGGAGGTGTCTCCTTTGTGACTTGTTTTCAGCGCACGCTGCATTGAAACTGGAGTCAGAGGAGAGGAGCCCAGAGGCGTGGCTTCAGCTTCAACCCAGTCTCAAGGACAATTGGCTGTGATAATACCTATCTCTGGCCCATCCTGCAAACACCTCTTAAAATAACAGTTCAGGTAAGACCAACTGTCATTTTATTATTAAGTATTCAAATTCACCAGGACTTGAGATCTAAATAAAGCTTTTACCTATACCATTTACCCATACTGTAAAAATTAGCATAGTTCTCTGTTTTTTAATACATAGTTGCAAGAAATTGATAAGTTCTATATATAGGAAGCTGTTATAGCTACTACCCTATTAGGAAGCTTTGATGGTGAGGAAAAAGGGTCAAGAGATTAGTTGATGACAAGGAAGATTTCTTGTTTGCTTGTTTCCTTTCTCACCCATAGAGACAGAATATAATTTGATTTTCTGTCCTAAATGTTAATTTCCACAATAGTCTATCATTGGAATTAGAATTAAGCAAAACGAATACAATATGCTAAAAGCTTAGAACTAAAAAAATGAAAATTAATATCTGAGTATTTAATTGAATGCAGTAAAATACTATTCTTATGTATTTCTGTTCTTCAATTTATATATTTTAAAAGTGACTTTCAAGTTCATGTGGCTTTTATACTGAAATTTTAATTACATTTATGGTGACAAAGAAAAAAAAATAAGGCTAGCATCTAATAATTTCTAATTTATTTTATTTTACCCTGGTGGTAACAGCAACCGTTTTTCTGGCCCCCCCCCCCCCATGGCATACCTGTAACTTTTTTTTTTTAAAGAGAACTGCAGTATCTTAGGAACCACAACATTTCATAAATTCTTTTGTGTTGTATGCATTCATAAATATCACTTTTATACTCTTTTTGCAATGATTATGCTCATGAGTCAAACCTTCTCAGTGTCCTCAAAATGTTTATATTGTGTAAATGTAAAATACATTAACTTCAGTTTCAGAATACTAGCTGTTTAAACACAGGGCAAAGTCTGCCAGATGTTACACTGGCCTCGATAAGTTTCCCTTGCTCTTTGTTTTGCATTTTAGTGAAGAAACATTGAGTTTGGTGAAAATTGCCCCATTTGGGGGGATGTTCTTGTGTACTGAGTACAACTTATTTATCCCGCATAATTCTCTATCCTAGATTTTCTTTGTTAAAATAAATCGAAGTGGTAAATTAAATTCCCCCTGTACATTTTCGTTTTCAGAATCTGAAAAACAGCAACATGAACTTCTGTGTGGGTGCTTCCTGACAGAAGATTGGTGCTAAAAGAAAGAATCTACAGTCTTCAGCTAGCAGGATTTTGACAATTCTCCAGTTGCCTTGGGAGCTGGGGAGGTTGCTGTCTCTGAGCAGATATTTGCCATTTCCTGCCTGGATGCAAAGCAGTACTTGAATCACATCTGCTACTTTCATACTTGAGGAACCATATTCTTTGCTGTCTAATCAGACATTAAATAAGACAAGCTATTATGTCTAAGAAGCAAAACCAAAAAGGTAAGCTTTAATATAGAGGTAGTATAACTAAGAAAAAGGACTATTTAATATGTGGTTATCAAATATGAGAATTAGTTCAGTATTAAGATATTCATCAAAGTCAGGGAGTTTTCTCTGATTGTTCTTACATGTCGTGTAAAGAAGAGAAATCCTGTTTACATCTTGCTAAATAGAAATAAGATTACTTTCTAAAATATAATCCTTCATCCCTTTCTCAAATCAAAGAAGGAATGTCTTTGACATTTGAAAAATGTGCGACTTTTTAGTGTTAGAAATTTAAACTAATGACAGACGTGAAAAATCTGGTTTTGCTTCAGAACCGTCAGTACTAACAACTGGCAGAGAGTTGACTATTCTCTGTGCCTCATTTGAGGAATTGCACTTCTCTCTAGGCAGAATTCCATCTTCCTGAGAAATCTATATTATTTTAAGACCTACTACTTTGAAAGCATACAAATGTGAGTGGATTAATAGGTATCACTTTGGTGGAGAGGTAGCAGTGTTCCATGCACTTTTGGTATACAGCCACTCTGGCCACATGAACCCGGAAAATGTCTTCAGACAACTCTGGCTTCCTTAGTCAAGAAACAGAGATGAGCACTTGCTCCCTAGAATCAGACACAACTGGACAGAGAAGCCTTTACCTTTTTTTTTTAACTTCAGGAGCAATAAATCTTATCAGAAACTGACATCTATATCTGCCTGTTAATATTAATTAGCGATTGTATGAGAGGTATGTCTGTCTGCAAAAATATTTTATTTTATTTTATGCAGGTTTTGCAAATGAAAGTTGCTGGTGACTTTTCTTTCCTTGATAAGGCTATCATGTATTTTTCATTTCCCTGCCCTCTCTTGGATGCTACTGATAATATGTCAAGATTCAAGGTTCACTATGTATGTTTGAGTTAACATGACATTTGGACAGGTTTTAAAGATCAAAACTAGCACTTTGAATTAGATTCAAAACAATGACTAAGAGTCTATTAAGGCTTTTTTGAATATATGGAAGATGTGTTTGCAGCATTTTGAGTTTAAAGTGGATTGTTTCAACTTTGCTGGAGGTGCTCTGATCTGAATAATTGGCATTCTTACTGACCAGTCCTATTGAATAACTTCCAGGTAAAATGGCTAGATTGATCAATTATAGATTCCAAAACTATAGCTGTTCCCAAGCTTCAGAAATGTCCTGGGGTGAGTATATGATTTGGTTGCTCCCACTTCTTCCCAAATTGGCATGAATTGGCTCCCCTCTTATGTTTTGTGCAACAATTTTTCAAAGAGGCTGCAATGGAATACCTCGGTTACAATTGGCTTTTTTCCCCTTGCATATTAGTAAGGACATTTTTCTTTCAAGATTGACAAAACTGATTGATTTTCAAATGCATAAGAGGTCTTTCTGCATACTAGGTTTATCTTACAGAATCTTACAGTAAGATATTAATGTATCTTACAGAACTGTAGCTCATTTGTAGTATAGATCTGCAAGTTGTATTCAGGTCCCTGAATTCCAGTGCCTAGGAACAAATTGCTAAGTTGGCTGTGTGCACTACTTACAGCTGTAAATTGTTACACTATTCATCCTGTGGAAAAAAGATTTTTGGCTCTTCTAGACCAGACATTTGGTTCAAATAACTCAGTATCCTTAAAGCTAAATTATGGCTGAGTTAATAATCTGTTCTATAATGTTTAGAAACCGAACATATGAATTTATATTTTAATAATGCATATTTTAAGCTATCAGTGTATTAGCTCTGATTTGTATTGTCTAATTGCTTTATTTACTATTTATTTCTAATTGGTTTTTTCTTTTTCTTTTTTTCAATATATTTTTATTATTTTTACATTTAAAACAATGCAGTACCGTGAAGTCGAAGTGACCATACATTCACATTATATACAGCTAGTCTCAACCATTAACAATTAGCCTACTTAATACATTGTCTATCCTTCTGTCCAATCACAATATATACAGTTTGTTCCAGTCTTGTCACCTTGTCTTATACCAGTCATAAAATCTGTTCCAGACTTCAAAATATTCTGATTCCCCTTTATTTTTAAGTTCAAGAGTGAGCCTATCTGCTTCCGCACAGGCCAACACTTTTCTGATTATATCTAGCCCTGATGGTGCATTTTCTTTTTTCCAATATTGTGTATAAGTTATGTGTGCCACAGTTAGTACATGTACAATTAAATAAAGTGTATCTTTCTTAAACCCCTCCAGTATTATACCTAGGAGAAAAATTTCCGGTTTAAACAAGATTTGGTCTCCCCCCATTTGTTCTAACCATAATTAATACATTTTCCAATATTTTTTTGCCTCATTGCACGTCCACCACATATGATAAAAAGTGCTTGGTATTTTTTTACACTTCCAACAATTTGGGGCCAGATTTTTAAACATTTTGGAGAGCCGTGCTGGGGGGAGATGCCATATGTAGAACATCTTATAAAGATTTTCTTTATATGCCTTAGCCATTGTTAGTTTCTGATTAAGTATCCAAAGTTTTTCCCACTTAGCCAATTCCACATTGTAACCGAAATTTTTTGCCCAGGCGACCATAGTTTCTTTGACATGTTCCTCCTCTAGCTTGTATTCCAACAAAAATCTATACAACACTTTGATCAGCCTGTTTTCTGTCTGTATCAAAAGTTTATCTAATGTGTAATCTTTGGCAATACGTTCCTTTTTCCTATCCTGTGCAAACCTTGACTGTATCTGTAAATAAGACCACCATTCTACTTGTACCCCTTGTGATGTAAATTCTAATCTAGTTTTGATCTCCCCCTGTCTGTTCAATAACTCTTTATATGTAACTATATTTTCCATATTAATTAAATTTGGATGTATGTATGCTTCCATCGTAGATAGCCAAATAGGTATTTTGGTGTAGTGGTTGTGTTTAATTTTGTTCCATATTAATAACAGGGACTGTCTGATATAATGTCTACTGAAATATTTATGTGCAGGTCCTTTTTCATACCAAAGGAAGGCATGCCATTCTTACTTGGAGGTCATGACCTTCCAATTTGAGTAATCTTTTATTTCTCAACATTATCCATTCTCTTAGCCATGTTAAGAGTGGCCGCAGTATAATAAAGTTCCCAATCTGGTACGCCAAATCCAAATTTTCCTTAGTGTCTTGCATAGACTTGAGTTTTATTCTTGGTTTTCTTCCCTGCCAAATAAATTTCGAAACCAGTTGATTCAAATCCTTAAAAAAAAACTTTTTCTATATTTAATGGGAATATTCTGAAATAGGAAAAGAAATTTTGGTAATACATTCATTTTTATGATGCAGTATAATTGGTTTTTTTCGACCACAACACAAGTTGTATTGGATTGTAGGTGCAGGAAACCCTAATTTTTTAATGAACCAGCAAAGATTTGGTCTTGTTTTAAACACATCTTTCAGGTAGTAAACAGTCATATTCTATACTTTTTAATGTTTCAATTCTGTATATTATTTGTGGTGGGAAGCTGTAATAAGTAAGCTTTTTTTTAGTGAATTTTTTCATATATATGCTTAGTGAATGTTAATAACAAGTACCAGACATTGGTTGTAATAGTATGTAACTGAGTACTCTCTAGTTTATAAATGCTCAATTTATTCTCTTTTGGGAAAACCATTGTGCAAATTTTAGAAAAGAAGTAAATAGTAAACAAAAAATGAGGCGATGGTAATTGCTTATTTTTGTATATAGAACATGTTCATTTGTGATCCCACATACATATTTTTTTTTGTATTTTCTTTCTACAAATTCATTCTATTTGCCCTGTTTTTTCACCACTAAGTTATAACTTGGAATTGTTCATTCTGATTCCCCTGTCAAATTCAATTAGCTTGGCTTTAAATACATATAAGTCCATATTCCATATTGCATCATACAATCTATCTGAGGGTTATTTAGGTTCTTGGCTAACAATTCAAAAATTATAAAGTTACGTTTACGTTCCCAAGCAACCAACACACTTCTAACATCATACAGTCTTTAAATCGACAAATATGCAATAAATATTCCCTTTTGTACTCTTCTCAGTGAGCAAAGAACAAATATATGATGTGTAATACACACTACCTTGAACAGGAATTCCAAATTTTGCTTGTGAACAGAATCAGAATTCTACCCACATCTTTCCAGTTAGATTTGAATTTAATCCGCATCTAGTTTTCACATTTACTCTTTTGACATTGCACTATTTTTCTTTTAATTAGAAAAACAACAGTGTCATTTTTCCAATCATTGGGCACAGACATAGTCTTCTCACACATATTAAATAAATTACACAACACTCCATGAAAAAAACTAAATCTGTACTTTTACATTTTTCCAAGCATGCCACCTACATCTGCAACCTTAGCATTTTTAAAAATAATTTCACAGTATTTATCCCTTTTCAAAAAAAAATCTTAGATAACCTTTTTAACCTACATTTACTGCTTTCAAAACTGTTCTGTATTTTTTCTGCTTTTAAACATATCTCTCTCTTATTCTGTGTTGTCAGAACAAGATTGTTTGCAGCTTTTTTTCTGTATATACATTTGTAGTAGCAGGGCTGAGTCTAAACATTGGAAGTCTTTTCTCTCAAAAACCCCTCTGGATTTACACAACCTGGCCCCTTCTTCCTGCTTGGAAATAGCTGCTTATTAGTTACTGCTTATCTTCCCAGAGGACAGAAAAAAGGGAATGTAGAAATTCCTTTTCAAACAGCCTCTTTCAAAATCTTTCCTGTTGGGGAAGATGCTCAAATCACAGAAAGCATCTTAAAAGAAACTCCCATAGAACAATGTATGATTCTAAGTGAATCATAAAGATCTGCTTCTAATGTAGAACCAGCTCTGACGTGAAGTAGTGCATAAAATAATGCACTAAGCATGTATAAAAACATAAATATCAGAAATCACAAAGGATCAACTAGCACGAAATAAACTAAAGAGTGTTGTTCTTAGTTAATTTTCCTCTATTCCTCTAGAGAATAGATTAGCCTTGGAACATATGTT